GGGGGGGATAACTTTTTCTCCTGGAATTTTTACTTTAATTCAAAGTGTCTGTTATAATTTGCTTATGCTAGAAGTTAATATAAAATGGAGGTTGATTTATCACAATATTATACATTTCACTCTCAAGGGACACATATTAATATTTCATTGTGTTCTGCAGAAACAGAAGGACTACTAAATGTTAAACAATTTTGAGGGCCATAGATGCAAGAGACAAAAAGGACACAGAAGAGAATATTATTCTCCACAGAGGGTGGCACGACTGGCTCCCCCAGCACTCTGGCTAAAGACATCAGTGATGATTTGATCTCTCTTCCCCTCGACTCATCCAACCAACAATTATTACCTCCTAATCATCCTTAATTCCATCCTTTCTTCTTCCTCTTGCCTACCACTGCCCAGGACCAGGCTCTCTAAATAGTCCCCCAGTCCAGACTCTTGTACAAAGCCCTAACTGGTGTGTTTGCCTCTAGCAGCTACACTCTACTGGAGTAATGTATCATGATGGATTAATCAGTAGTTTCAGTGCCTGCTTTCTCAAGACTTACTCCATCAAAAAAAGGACTATGTTTATCTTTTTCAACACTACATCTGTAGTGCCCAGAACAATAACTGGCATGACATCTAAAAGTGAATTGGTCAATGAAGTATGAATTAGAACAAATAAATGAATGATTTGAAAATGTGCAATCACATACCATACAACTCTTTGGTGACCACCATTCCCCCATGCCCACTGCAAACAAGATCAAGTCATACTACCCAACTTGGCAGTCAAGACCCTCCTCCTTGACCTGACTCTGTCTACACTGCTTGCTTATCTCAGCCACTCTCTTCTTAAACTCAGTGTATCCAGAATATCTCAGGAAACACCATACTATTTATCTCCTTTATGTTGCTGTTCACTTCCTTATGCCGGGAACATCCTTAACAAATACCTCCATCCTCAATCTCCTTTTCACCAAACTCTTCTCTCTCTTTTAAAAGAATAAATATTGAATAATATCTACCATGCATATTACCAAAGCTAAAATTTTGCCATATTTACTTCAAATTGTCTTTAAGAAATAAAGCATTAGAAGTACAATTGAAACTCTCATATGAGTCTTTCTTCAATCTCATTTCCTTTCTTCTCTAGTAGCATCTGCTACCTTGATTTTAGTGTGTACTCCATATATGGTGGGCTTCCCTGGTGGCTCAGATGGTAAAGAATTTGGCTCCAGTGCAGGAGACCTGGGTTCAACCCCTGGGTCAGAAAGATCCCCTGGAGAAGGGAATGGCTACTCAGTACAATATTCTTGCTTGGACAATCCCATAGACAGAGAAGCCTGGCAGGCTACAGACCATGGAGTCACAAAGAGTTGGACACGACTGAGTGACTAAGCAGCAGCCATGTATATTTCATAGTTTTTATTGATATTTTAAAATATCCTTTCCCCCGCC